CTCGGGCTGGCACTCCTTGGAACCTTAGGTCCCCACCGCCGGGAGTGCTGCAGCTGTTGTCGCTGCGGCTGGCCCTGCTGCTGCAGAACTCTAGCAGACGCCATGGCGGTAGCTAGAAGGGGCCGAGCGTAGTGGGGAGCAGCTGGGAGCGGTTGGGTGCAGTTCGATAGTGGCTAGAAGCGGTCGGGTGCGGTCGGGTAGCGGGGTGTGTACTGAGTGCTGGGTGACTCACGGGGCGCGGGGCCTTCTAGTTGGTGGGCCGTGGGGCCTTCTAGCTGGGGGCGGCATGGCCTTCTAGCTGGGGGGTCGCGGGGCCTTCTAGCTGGGGGGGCCGCGGGGCCTTCTAGCTAGGGGCCGCGGGGCCTTCTAGCTGGGAGGCGCGGGGCCTTCTAGCTGGGAGGCGCGGGGCCTTGTAGCTGGGGGCCTCAGGGCCTTCTAGCTGGGGGGTTGCGGGGCCTTCTAGCTTAGGGCCGCGGGGCCTTCTAGCTGGGGGCCGCGGGGCCTTCTTGCTGGGGGCAGCGGGGCCTTCTAGCTGGGGGTCTCAGGGCCTTCTAGCTGGATGCTGTGAGATACGGTCAGCGGGGAGCGGGTGCGGGGTGCTGGGCGGCGTGACGGGGTGTGTAGTGTGACGGGCGATGGGACGGGCGATAACTGGAGGCGTGGCGACAGGGTGCGGGGGGTGCATGGCGAGAGCGGGGTGACGTGGCAGCAGGGTGACGGGGTGCGTGGGCAAAAACGCGGCGGGCGTGAACGGGCTAGTATGGCGACGGGGTGCACGGGGTGCGTGACGAGAGTGGGGTGACGGGGCAGTGGGGTGCGTGGCGAGCGCGGGTGGCGGGGCAGTGGGGTGCCGGGGGTGATGGGGTGCATGCGCGAAAACTCGGCGGGTGCTAACGGGCGGCGTGGCGACGGGACGCGCTGGGCTACGGGGTGACGGGGCGTGCTGGGCTACGAAGTGGCGGGGCGCACTGGGCTGCTGGGTAACGACGTGCGATGGGCTGCCAGGTGACGGCACGCGCTAGGCTACGGGGTGGCAGGGCGCACTGGGCTGCGGGGTGGCGGGGCGCGCTGAGTTGCAGGGTGACAGGGCGCTACGCGCAACGGGCGGCGGGCAGACGACGAACGTACGGCGGACGGGTGGCTAACGGCCGGCTAGCGAACGGACGAAACCCTAAAAAGGGCGTGCTAACGGGCGACGAGGACGCTACGGGTGGCGAACGTGCGAGGATCGTACGAAATCCTAAAATGAGCGAGTAGTGGACGGAGCGCGAAGCGGTGGGCCCATGGAAACAAACGAAGCTCTATACCATGTCAAGATAGGAATGGAGAAATGAATTGTCAGAATGAGTATGCGAGAATGTAAAGAGAAGAAAGAGAGGGTTGTACTAGCAAGCAGGTGGAGTACGTATAGGAAACCCTAAAAGGGTTGTACTCTCTGTTGAGTACCCCACTATAGCCTACACAACACATAACATTCTAACACACCCCCATAGGCAAAGTAGGGTATAGTCAACACAACAAGCAATCGCATGACTAGGTCATAAACAAAGGCTAGTGGCAGAACTAGAGGGCAAGTGAGGAGGAGGAGGAGGGACTATGAGAGGAGAGGAGGTAGGAGGCGGCAGCTGAAGCTGCTGGCACACGGGCGACTGGAGCAACTGGCACACAGGCTACCGGAGCAACGGCATCCGGACTACTGGAGTAATTGGCTCCGCGGCTAGACGAGCGGCTGGAGCAACTGACCCACGGGCGACTGGAGCAACGGGCTCACGGGCTACCGGAGCAATGGCATCTGGACTACTGGAGCTGCTGGCTTCATGGCGGCTACCTCCTTTCAACCTCCCCCCATTGTCCCACACCCCTTTTCCACACCCCCTTCTGCATCCCTAGCGCCACTCCCTCGGCTCCCCCACACCCTCCCCCCCTCAGCGGCAGCCGCAGCAGTGGGAGAGAGAGGAAGAGGAGGAGCAGCAGATGACTCACACCCGTCACCCCCATACCCGCCACCCCCATACCCTCCCCCCCACGGCTGCACGCGCAGCAGGGAGAGGAAGGAGAAGGGGGGGCGGGGAAGAAGCTGCCCCGCGGCTACAGAGGGGCATAGCGCTGGTGCACGGGGCAGCGCTCGGGTGCACGGGGCGGCGCGCGGGTGCACGGGGCGGCGCGCGGGTGCACCGGGTCGGCGCGCGGGTGCAGTGGGGCGGCGCGCGGGCGAACGGGGCGGCGCACGGGTGCCACCGGGCGACGCGCGGGTGCCACGGGGCAGCGCACGGGTGCAAGCAAACCGTCGCGCGCGCGCGCTTGGGGCGCTGCCGCGGGCAGAAAACGTCGCGCGCCCGGGGCGCGCGACACGCAGGAAAATAGTCACGCGCCTGGGGCGCGCGACTGAAAGAACAGCAGCGGAAGCGAACGGTGGGCCCATTGAGGAAGGCTCAAGGAAAGAGCCTCCTCTGAATACCATGTCAGAATGAGTAAGCGAGAATGTAAAGAGAAGAAAGAGGGTTGTACTAGCAGGCAGGTCGAGTACATATAGGAAACCCTAAAAGGGTTGTACTCTTTGTTGAGTACCCCACTATAGCCTACACAACACATAACATTCTGACATGAATGATATTGGAAATGAACAAACAAGCATATGTAGGAAACCTAACCCTAGTGCTAGGACAAATGTAACACACATAGACTAGAACTAACAAACTATAACAATTATAGTTTGACAGGGATGTCAAGAGCCTTTAGGTCACCCTCAGAGGCTAGCCGCATGGCGCAGAGATGAGGAGCAGCGGTCACAAGGAAAGCCAGCTCGTATTGCCTATCCTCTAGGACGTTACTGCCAATAGTAGGCTCACCAGGTACAGTTGCACTAAGTACCATGCTGGGGGCATGGTGATGGTGTGGCACAGCGGCAGGGTAGCGAGGAAAGGCACATGGACACATAGGGTGCGCGTGAGCAGATGGGAAGTGAGTGGCAGAGTGAAAGAGTAAAGGGTGGTTGGTTGAGGCCAGAGGCATTGGCACAGACGAGATGGAAGGACGGTCGGGGTGTGCTGGACAAGGCGCGCTAGTTGGAGGATAGAAAACACTCGTTAAAACAAGCAACCATGCGTTGGAGGAGAGGGGAGTGGGGAGAGGGGAGAGGGGAGAGGGGAGACGGGAGAGGGGAGAGGGCAGAGGGGAGAGGGGAGAGGGGAGAGGGGAGAGGGGAGAGGGGAGAGGGGAGAGGGGAGAGGGAGAGAGGAGAGGGGAGAGAGGAGAGGGGTGAGAGGAGAGGGGAGAAGGTAGATGGGAGAAAGGAGAGAGGAGAGGGGAGAGGGGAGAGGGGAGAGAGGAGAGGGGAGAGGGGAGAGGGGAGAGGGGAGAGAGGAGAGGGGAGAGAGGAGAGGGGAGAAGCGAGAGGGGAGAAAGGAGAGGGGAGATGGGAGAGGGGAGAGAGGAGAGGGGAGAGGGGAGAGTGGAGAGGGGAGAGAGGAGAGGGGAGAGAGGAGAGGGGAGAAGGGAGAGGGGAGAAAGGAGAGGGGAGAGGGGAGAGGAGAGAGACGAGAGGGAGACGAAGAGTGGAATGGTGATTGGAGGGATGATGAGGATTGTGCAGGAAGCGACGAGCAAGAGATGACACCACAGAAGCACACAGAACCGGCAGAGCGCACCCGAGGGCAAGCAGGTTGGAGAAGAGCGTCTGGGGGTCCTGGAATTCCACACACCCCATACACACCCGGCACACCCCACACGCCCCACACACCCCACACACATGCCCCCCACACACCCCACACGCACCCCACACACCCCACCCCACACACCCCACACATGCAACACACACGCCCCTCACATGTGAGGAAGGATTAAAGTAAACCATTAGTTTCATTAGAGAGAACCCAGGGTATACATAGAATCAAAGAGAAGGGTGAAAGAGAAGGAAGGGAAGGAAGGGAAGGTACCACTAGGAGAGTGGGCCAACCTATGGCCCATTGGGTTGAGTTGGCCTCACTTGGGGAAGTGAGGCAACCTATGGCCCATTGGGTTGAGTTGGCCTCACTTGGGGAAGTGAGGCAACCTATGGCCCATTGGGTTGAGTTGGCCTCACTTGGGGAAGTGAGGCAACCTATGGCCCATTGGGTTGAGTTGGCCTCACTTGGGGAAGTGAGGCAACCTATGGCCCATTGGGTTGAGTTGGCCTCACTTGGGGAAGTGAGGCAACCTATGGCCCATTGGGTTGAGTTGGCCTCACTTGGGGAAGTGAGGCAACCTATGGCCCATTGGGTTGAGTTGGCCTCACTTGGGGAAGTGAGGCAACCTATGGCCCATTGGGTTGAGTTGGCCTCACTTGGGGAAGTGAGGCAACCTATGGCCCATTGGGTTGCATTTTGGGGCTCCACTACAATGGGTTGGATTGGCACTCCAATATGCAAGGCTACACCCAATGATGGGTGTAGTCCCAACCCAACTTTACACCACACTTGGTGTACAGTCACAAAAGTGTTAGCATGCTACAATATAACTCTAGCAACACACGCCACACACACTACCCACAAACCTCACATACCACTCACCCCCACCCCACACACCTCGTGGCAGCTTCTGTGCACGTGGCGCCCCTTCCAGGGCGCCACGGCCCAGAGGGGCGGCGGGAAGGGGCGCGAGGCGGAGAGGCGCGAGAGGAGCGCGAGCGCATCCAGCAGGCGGGGACCGGCGATGAACACGAGTCACAGGGAGGTGACGAGCGGGTCGCGCAGCACCTGGGGGTGGGGGGATGTGGAGAGAGGACACATGGATGACGGTGTGTGTGGGACGAGGGTTGGGGTGGGGGCATGTGAGAAGAGAGGAGAGGCAAGGGGCGAGGGTGGTGGGGTATGGCACATAAAGCAGAGAGTGGGAGGTGGGTGGGTGAAAATGGGGAGGTGGCGGGGTAAAAGTCTCGCGATTCTTTGTATGGCAACAGAATTGGCAATGGGCGAAATAGAAGCGCGTGTGAACACAGCTCACACAGCCGGCAAGGCAAGCTCATGCACCACCACGCATGCAGCATGCAGCAGCGCGCCTCGCACCATGTGTTGAGCGTGGTTGAGCAGGAAGGAGCCCTGTGCGTGCGAGTCCACCCACACGCCCCACCCCTCACCTGCACCTCCCACTCACCTTCACCTCCCACTCACCTGCACCTCCCACTCACCTGCACCTCCCACTCACCTGCACCTCCCACTCACCTGCACCTCCCACTCAGCGGGGAGAGGGCAGCAACAGCGACCTCGTCCACGTGGAAGGCTGAGAGCGGGCGGCCCAGCAGCACAGGCGGCATCAGGGCCGGCACCTCGGTGAGGCGGGCGGGTGGATGGGCGGGCATGGCAACGCGGGTGGTGGGAAGGCGAGCAGCAGGCGCGCGGAGGGGGCGTGCAGACGCACTGCCATGCGCCTCGTGCCCGCCAGCACCTCTGCGTGGGTAGCACTGCTGTTGCCCCCCCTTGCTGCCCCTCCTCCCACGCGCCGCCGTCGCTGCCTGCTGCTGCTGCTGCTGCTGCTGTTGCCATCCTCTGCTGTGTCGCCTGCCCCGTCCTCCTCGCCCCTCGCCTCATCCTCATCCTCATCCTCATCCTCATCCTCATCCTCATCCTCATCCTCATCCTCATCCTCATCCTCATCCTCATCCTCATCCTCATCCTCATCCTCATCCTCATCCTCATCCTCATCCTCGTCCTCGTCTCTCCGTCAATGCTTTCCTTCCTCCCCTCCCCGCTCCTCCCCCTCCATCCCTGCCGCTTCTTCCCCTCTCGCGTCCGCCTTAAACAACATCGTTCCCCACTTCCCCCTGCCTCTCCCCTGCCCGCCCCGCCTATCGTTCCCTCCCGCCCTCTGCCCCTCTCTCCTCCGCGCCCCCCCTCCCCGCGCCCAGCTCCGCGTCTCGTCCAGCGCGCGCTGCACCACCTTCGCCTCGCGCCCGCCGCCTTTCAAGTCCACCAGCGCGCGCTCCTCCATCTCCCCCTCCTCCTCCCACGCTCCCCCTCCTCCTCCGTCTCCCCCCCGAACTCCCCCAGCAGGTTCCCCCCGCCCTGCGCCTTCGCCTCCAGCAGGTCCTTCAGCTTCACGCCCTGCGCCTGCGCCATGCCTGCCTTCGCCACCATGCGCCGCACGATATCTCCCCCCGCCAACGCCGCCCCTCCGCCGCGCGCGCCCTCGGCGTGCGCCAGCGCGCCGTCCCCCGGCAGCAGGTCGCGGTCGCCGGGGCCCTCCAGGGAGATCACGCTGCGCCTCTTCCGCCGAGCCATGTCTTTAGGTTTGGGCCGCTCCACCACGAGGCCCCGAACCTGCAGCCTCCCCGCGCTCGCCGCGGCTAGGTCTGCATCGCGGGGGGGCTGGCGGCGGGGCGTGCAACCAGTGGTAGCAGAGCCAGAGTGTGACTATAGCGAAGGCGCACGCCTGGGTTACGTGCGCCGCGCGGATTCCGGACCCCGACTTGTGCGCGCCGCCGTGCCAGCGGGATCGCAGCGAGGCGCGCGCGGAGTGGTGGTGCGATGAGGAAGTCATTGGGAACGCGCTTGTGTAGGTGCTTCTTGACGAGTCACGGCACTTGCTAGCTGTGCTGGGTGCAATGGCGTCCTCCGCACTGACTTGCCTGCTCACTTGGGCTTGCCTTGTGACGCGGCGCGAGCGCACGGGTGATGAACGCAAGAACGAGGCTGGCGGGGAGACGGCGGGAAGCGGGAAATCCGCGGAGGATGACGGCGGGGGGAGAAGCAGTGCAATGCGGGAGACTACCGGCGTGCTGCCAGTGCCCATCGCAGCCACTCTTGGGCGGCCCGCGCGTCGTCGCAATGCTTCCAGTTCATGGCAGCGCGGCGGCGGCTACATGGGTGGCACGGGTCGCCGCAGGGCAAAGCAGCCCGGTGGGCCGAATGTGAGGGCGCGCGCTGCGTGGTGCTGCGTGGACTCAACGTTCACCTTGTGTTAGGCGGCCAGATGGCCTTTCTTAAACGCCCATCGCACGCGTAATAAGGGCCTTTCGTCGGCAATTGACGCTATGAGCGCACTTGTGCAGAGAAGGATTCGAAATGTGAGCGTGGATGAGTAGTGAGGGGAATCGGGGGAAAGACATGCACGCTCGCATTTCCCAAGTGTTGGGTTGGGTTGTACACACGATGCTCAGCTGTTGCACGCACATTTGGTCTGTCCCTAATCGACAGCCTGCCCAATTGCATTTGGTACCAGCCAGTTACACGCACGATACAAGCCCATATTTTGATCGCAGCCGTTGAACATACAGCTTATCACGCTGGCATCTGTCCGTTCGTGAGATATTTTGAAGGCGCTGGTTACATTTCTTCACCTGCCCACTACAGACCCGATTTTGCCCGTGGCGAACGTTGACGAGCAGGCGAAAAAACTGTTTCTCACTAAACACCCAAATGACGAAAAAGGTTGTGGGTACTTAGCGGGCATCATGTGTATTGGAGGGCGAGGGGGATGTACAGTTATATCACCAACTTCTCAAATCCCTAAATATTTTTGTAACTTCTGATCGAGGTTCGGGTTTGTGATAAAACTGCGCCTCGTCCCCTTTGAATGATCCACGTCTCCATTCGTACGCCTCACCGCGCGTCCTCTCCTCGCAACACACACCACCGCGCGGCTCCGCACAGGCTACGTTCATGTCGCCCGCATAGGAGATGGTGAATGGGGATGCTCTGCCCCTCCGATTCCGCTATAAGCCGCTCGATACAAGCACAGGCAGCTCGCTGCCGAGCCACCAACAGCCGTTCAGCTCCGTGACCGTTCCGCGCAAAATGCCGCCGCACGCGCGGACCAGCGCCGCGCGGAGAGCGGTGGGCACCGCGGGTTCCGCGCGCAGCATGCGGTACTTCCCGCTGGTGGGCCCCGCCGTGCTCGGCGCGCTGTACCTGCTCTCGCTCCTCGCGCGACGGGGGGCGAAACCCGCCGCCGTCGGCGCAAGCACGCAGTGGTGAGTGGCGGCGGGGCTGCGCGAGTGGCGGCAGAGGCGGGCGGGCGGGCGGGGCTGGGAGGAAATGCGCTTGCAGGCAGGGAATCCCTGGTTGGGGTGACGGGGAAGGGGCTGCGCACGACCGACGGTGCGGTCATCGCGGAATGCGGAGTGGCGGAGGGAGGCGCGAGAAGGCGGGGAGAAGGAGGGGCGGGAATGGTGGGTGGTGAGGAGTGTGATGTGGCAAGTACTGGACGCTGAATTGGTGCCCAGCAGGGGGTAACTGGGACAGTTGGGGAATGTGGAATGTGATCATTGGTGCATTACGCTCTCTCTTCTAGCTGCCTAACTCCCCTTCACCCCCTCCTCCCCTCCGTCCCCCCGCACCCCACACCCCGTGCGCCCAGGCTATCCATCGCCTACCACCCGTCGGGCGACGGCGTGCTGCTGCTCCTCGCGCCGCCCGCCTCGTCCGCCGCGCCCCTCCCCGCGCCCTCCCCCCCTGCCGGAGCGGCGGCAGCAGCGGCTGCAGCTGCCGGCGGTGGAGGTGGGGGGGGCGCGCGTGCAGGGGCTCGTGGTGGACGGCACTGGGCGCAGCGCCACGTGGCAGGCAGGCGGGGAGGCGGAGGGAGGTGAGGGAGGTGAGAGTGGGTGCGTGCACTGCATGCCACAATGCGCCCTCACCAATGCCCCTGTCCCGCGCATCTCTTTCCAATGCCTCCACCACAACCGCCCTCTCACCGCCCTCTCACCATCTCTACTTTCTCCCGCCCTCTCCGTCATTCCACCTCGACACGACACGAGCACACGAGTTGAGCCAATGCATGTGGTGGGACACTGGTGGGGTTCAGTGCCTAGTGTGAGATGCGACCACTTAAGAGCCATTCATTTTCCTGTCTCATCCCGCATGCATCTCATCTGCTCTCGTCTCCACGCCTCTTCTCAGTCGCTACAACCCCTCCTACGGTAGTCGGTAACGTTCAGTGGTGTTCGCCTTGTTGTGCCTAGCCTTGTTCAAGTAACGGGCCGAGTATACTACCTTTGAAAGTGAATACTTTTCTCCACAAGATAAGTCAAGTAGTTTTTACTCCCCTCGACCCCAACAACAATGCCACCCACTCCCACAGCCTCACCCGCCTCTCCCACCCTCAGCCCCAAACCTCTCTCCCGTCCCAATCACGCTTGTAATCTCTCAACCTTCCCGGCACACTCCGCCAATCCACAGTGTTTTCGCGTTTGACCCCTTCAGCCATGGAAGCACGTGTGACAGAAGAGGAGGAGAGCCTCGCGAGTGAAAGTGGACTGCCCCATTACTCAATTCACTCTCACCTCCTGCTAATATTCCGCCCAGTAATCACCTCATTACTACTACTCGGTTCAACGAGTAAAGAACCCGAGGCTTGTTCCTACTACTTACCTCATCTGCTCGTATCTACCCCCCCCCTCTCCCCTGAGCCCTCTCTCGCACTCGAGTCAGTGGTGCCGCGTGATCGCACGCCTCCACCCTGTGAGCGCGCACTCCACCCTGTGAGCGCGCACTCCACCCTGTGAGCGCGCACTCCACCCTGTGAGCGCGCACTCCACACCTGAAATCAGGCTCCACTCGACTCGACTCAACTCTATGATTGACTGCAACTGCAACTGCAATCCACCCATGCGTGCCACTCCCCTGCAACTGCAGCCCAGCCCGCCGGGCAGAACGCCTCTGCTGCGGCCGCGCTGCCGGCGGTGGCGGTGAGGGCGAGCAGGCTGAGCGAGCACGCGGTGGTGGTGACGTGGGAGGTCACCACGCCGCTGCTCTTCCCCGATGGCCTTCACTTCACCCTGCGGGTGAGCAGCGGGGGTGTGGGGGGGAGTAGTGAGAAGAGGTGACAGGGACGGTGGAGGGTGAGGGGAGTTGCTAGTGGCGCTCGTGCGGTGCGGTGCTGTAAGTGGCGGGGCAGCATCTGCCATGCACACTCATCGCTCCTCTTCTATGCCCGCCCACATGCTGCCAAGCCTTGCTACTCATCGGTGCACCATGTGCACCCTTGCTATGCACCATGTGCACCCTTGCTATGCACCATGTGCACCCTTGCTATGCACCATGTGCACCCTTGCTATGCACCATGTGCACCCTTGCTATGCACCATGTGCACCCTTGCTATGCACCATGTGCACCCTTGCTATGCACCATGTGCACCCTTGCTATGCACCATCTTTAACCGCTCCCTGCTCCCATTGTGTCCCTTCCCACCACCCCATCCTGTCCTCTTAGATAGCAGACAATGCATCGGGGTGGTACGGCGGTGGAGAGCGGTTCAATGCGGTGAACCAGAAGGGCAACGTGTTGCCCATGTTCTCGTTCGACCGCTTCACTGACGTCCCTGTACGTGCAGAGATGTGACTGTACGTGCAGAGATGTGACTGTACGTGCAGAGATGTGACTGTACGTGCTGAGATGTGACTGTACGTGCTGAGATGTGACTGTACGTGCAGAGAAGTGACTGTACGTGCTGAGATGTGACTGTACGTGCTGAGATGTGACTGTACGTGCTGAGATGTGACTGTGCGTGCTGAGATGTGACTGTACGTGCTGAGATGTGACTGTACATGCAGAGATGTGACTGTACGTGCAGAGATGTGACTGTGCGTGCTGAGATGTGACTGTACGTGCTGAGATGTGACTGTGCGTGCTGAGATGTGACTGTACGTGCTGAGATGTGCCTGTAAGTGCTGAGATGTGACTGTGCGTGCTGAGATGTGACTGTGCGTGCTGAGATGTGACTGTACTTGCTGAGATGTGACTGTACGTGCTGAGATGTGCCTGTAAGTGCTGAGATGTGACTGTGCGTGCTGAGATGTGACTGTGCGTGCTGAGATGTGACTGTGCGTGCAGAGATGTGACTGTACGTGCTGAGATGTGACTGTGCGTGCTGAGATGTGACTGTACGTGCTGAGATGTGACTGTACGTGCTGAGATGTGACTGTACGTGCTGAGATGTGACTGTACGTGCTGAGATGTGACTGTACGTGCTGAGATGTGACTGTACGTGCTGAGATGTGACTGTACGTGCTGAGATGTGACTGTACGTGCTGAGATGTGACTGTACGTGCTGAGATGTGACTGTACGTGCTGAGATGTGACTGTACGTGCTGAGATGTGACTGTACGTGCAGAGATGTGACTGTACATGCAGAGATGTGACTGTACGTGCAGAGATGTGACTGTACGTGCTAAGATGTGACTGTGCGTGCAGAGATGTGACTGTACGTGCTGAGATGTGCCTGTACGTGCTGAGATGTGACTGTACGTGCTGAGATGTGACTGTACGTGCAGAGATGTGACTGTACATGCAGAGATGTGACTGTACGTGCAGAGATGTGACTGTACGTGCTAAGATGTGACTGTGCGTGCAGAGATGTGACTGTACGTGCTGAGATGTGCCTGTACGTGCTGAGATGTGACTGTACGTGCTGAGATGTGACTGTGTGTGCTGAGATGTGACTGTACGGGCTGAGATGTGACTGTACGTGCTGAGATGTGACTGTACGTGCTGAGATGTGACTGTACGTGCTGAGATGTGACTGTACGTGCTGAGATGTGACTGTGCGTGCTGAGATGTGACTGTACGTGCTGAGATGTGCCTGTAAGTGCTGAGATGTGACTGTGCGTGCTGAGATGTGACTGTACGTGCTGAGATGTGACTGTGCGTGCTGAGATGTGACTGTACGTGCTGAGATGTGACTGTACGTGCTGAGATGTGACTGTGCGTGCTGTGATGTGACTGTGCGTGCTGAGATGTGACTGTACGTGCTGAGATGTGACTGTACGTGCTGAGATGTGACTGTACGTGCTGAGATGTGACTTTACGTGCTGAGATGTGACTGTACGTGCTGAGATGTGACTGTACGTGCTGAGATGTGACTGTACGTGCTGAGATGTGACTGTACGTGCAGAGATGTGACTGTGCGTGCTGAGATGTGACTGTACGTGCTGAGATGTGCCTGTAAGTGCTGAGATGTGACTGTACGTGCTGAGATGTGCCTGTAAGTGCTGAGATGTGACTGTACGTGCTGAGATGTGACTGTACGTGCTGAGATGTGACTGTACGTGCTGAGATGTGACTGTACGTGCTGAGATGTGACTGTACGTGCTGAGATGTGACTGTACGTGCTGAGATGTGACTGTACGTGCTGAGATGTGACTGTGTGTGCTGAGATGTGACTGTACGGGCTGAGATGTGACTGTACGTGCTGAGATGTGACTGTACGTGCTGAGATGTGACTGTACGTGCTGAGATGTGACTGTACGTGCTGAGATGTGACTGTGCGTGCTGAGATGTGACTGTACGTGCTGAGATGTGCCTGTAAGTGCTGAGATGTGACTGTGCGTGCTGAGATGTGACTGTACGTGCTGAGATGTGACTGTGCGTGCTGAGATGTGACTGTACGTGCTGAGATGTGACTGTACGTGCTGAGATGTGACTGTGCGTGCTGTGATGTGACTGTGCGTGCTGAGATGTGACTGTACGTGCTGAGATGTGACTGTACGTGCTGAGATGTGACTGTACGTGCTGAGATGTGCCTGTAAGTGCTGAGATGTGACTGTACGTGCTGAGATGTGCCTGTAAGTGCTGAGATGTGACTGTGCGTGCTGAGATGTGACTGTACATGCTGAGATGTGACTGTACGTGCTGAGATGTGACTGTACGTGCTGAGATGTGACTGTACGTGCTGAGATGTGACTGTGCGTGCTGAGATGTGACTGTACGTGCTGAGATGTGACTGTACGTGCTGAGATGTGACTGTGCGTGCTGAGATGTGACTGTGCGTGCTGAGATGTGACTGTACGTGCTGAGATGTGACTGTACGTGCTGAGATGTGACTGTACGTGCTGAGATGTGACTGTACGTGCTGAGATGTGACTGTGCGTGCTGAGATGTGACTGTGCGTGCTGAGATGTGACTGTACGTGCTGAGATGTGACTGTACGTGCTGAGATGTGACTGTACGTGCTGAGATGTGACTGTACGTGCTGAGATGTGACTGTACGTGCAGAGATGTGACTGTACGTGCAGAGATGTGACTGTACGCACTGATGTCCCTGCACGTGCTATGATGTGACCGTGTCTGTTGAGATGTGGCTGTATGTGATGTGACCTAGTTTGGCACTTATTGAATCTTTCTAACCCTAGAATTTCAGCTAGTAAGAGAATTCAATCAGTCTCGTGTGAGAGATGCTAATTCTGTAATGATAACATACACTAACACAAAAAATGCTGTTGCACACCTCATGTCCTTTGGCCGTTGAGTCATGGTGGGTGGTTAGGTTTGAGTGTGGAGAGTGTGGAAATACACTTGCAGGGTGACGAAGGTAGAACTTTGGCCTCAAACTAATAACGCTTGCGCCGGATTATGACTGAACGCCATGTTTGCATTTTCTGTTGAGAGGGCCCCATCATGCATTTTCTGTTGAGAGGGCCATCATGCACACAGGAACAGCGCCAGGAACCATTTGATCCGCGAGGAACAATGAGAATATACACTGGAATTAGGACATTCACATACTTACACACAACTACCTCCGGATGTATTAGTCAATTTACGACATTCAGATCAGATTTGGGCCCACCCAAAGCATAAACCTGTCTTAGGCAACTGTAAATGCAAGTTGACATCAAGCGTAAACTTAGACGTATGACCCACTCACCCATCATCCCTTTCTGCCCACCTCCCATGTTTCATCTTCACACTCCTTCCCCTGCCGATTTTTGAAGCCCCTCAAAAGACGCATTCCCACAGTGTGTGCCCACCCCCCCCTCCAGGCGCAGCGCAGCTACAAGCCGGTGCCGTTTGTGATGAGCAGCAGCGGGTACGGCGTGTGGGTGCAGTCCTATGCCAACGGCTCCTTCAGCCTCGGCGCCAACGACGAGCCGGACGTGCTGGTATGGCGGGGGGGAGGGGGGGGGTGCATGCATGCTGGTCAGAGGATGACAGTTTTAATATAGTATACTTTTCCCCTCCTCTGCAAACTCCTATGGCTGCGTCCCCCTCCATCTTCCCCTCAACTCCTTTTCTCCCCACATCACCGTACGTTGCTCAAGACCACGTATGGTGCACGGCTGCATGGTACTGGACGGTGGATGGCGCTCTCTGCATCCTGTTACAACTGAACTTAAACTAATGAATCAGGAATGAGCTCAAGGCTCTTTAAGTACATAGGAATGAGCTAGGAATGGATGGGAGGGAATCGGGGGCAATCCCAAGGCAATCTCCAATTGGTGGGTTGGAGATTGCTTGGAGATCACACTTGTGTTTGGTTGGGATGTGGGTGTACATCCAACCAAACACAGAGTGCAGGCTACACTAAGCTCGAATGTAAAATTACAAACACAACAGGTGAGATTGAGGGCTAACTCTAACACATCCCACAGTTCATCCCCTCAAGTCCCCTCCCCCTCCCACCGCCTTTCCCTGACTCCTTTTCCGTCTCCCCCATCGCCTCGCCCCATCGTGCCTCGCCCCTCCCACCAGGCCATCCGGTACAGGGAGCAGCAGCTGCGCGTGGTGTTCATCGCGGGCCCCTCGCTGCTCGCTGTGCTCTCCGAGTTCACACGCCTCTCCGCGCGCCCCTCCATGCCGCCCGACTGGGCCTTTGCGCCCTGGAAGGGGCGAGACGTGCATTTCAACTGCTCGCAGGTGAGAGCTCTAGATGCATGTATGAGCTGAGGCATGTGGGATGATGGATGGCAGCCAGAGGGGGAGCTTGTTGTGTGATGCCATCATATGCATTCACATCATGCTTTATGCACCTGGTAACGCATTCTGTCTCGCTCAACTTCACGCCCAAGAGGGAAGCTCGATGTGCGAACCAATCAATGGCGAGGTCACGCAAAGACCCCGGTTCATGGCTGTGTGCCGTGCCGTGGGTGAGAGGGTGAGCTGGCAGCGCTGGTGGACGCCATGCGATTGCTCTGCTGCGCTCCCCACTGCTGTCGCCTGCTGTGCCGTGCAAGCACTGCACCCACCGGCGCCACTTCTCCCTGCGTGCCAACACCTGCAGGTGGTGGAAGATGCGGAGAAGCTGCGGCAGCAGGGCATACCGGGGTCGGTGATTCTGATAGACAGCCCGTGGGAGACAGGCTACAACGACTTCGCCATCAACCGCCTCCAGTTCAACGACCCGGAAGACATGTTCTTGCGCCTCGAAGAGCTGGGGTGAGTTGCGCCTCGAAGAGCTGGGGTGAGTTGCGCCTCGAGGAGCTGGGGTGAGTTGCGCCTCGAGGAGCTGGGGTGAGTTGCGCCTCGAGGAGCTGGGGTGAGTCGTTGAATCCAAGGTGCCCTCGTGTTTGCAGCGACCTCAACAACACCTCTCTCTCCCACCATGCTCTCTCCGAGGCACTCCTCCTCCCTCACCGTGCACCTCCTCCCTCACCGTGCACCTCCTCCCTCACCGTGCACCTCCTCCCTCACCGTGCACCTCCTCCCACCCAGCACCTTCCTCTCCGCCACCACCGCCGGCTTTCCCTCTCACTTCAGCTTTTGCTAATATGCTGGTCGGTGCTGCGTTTCTGTTTTCCTCAACACCAGTTCAGTCATTGCATCCCACCTGCCCTTGCACAGCCGGCTAGTCCTCTCCCACTCCAGCGATGGCGACGCAGCCCCGCTTCATCCCCCTCCTCCCCTCAAACCTTCCTCCCTCCCCTCTCTTTCCCACCGCCACCTTTGCCCCCACCCGTTTCCCCACTAATCCCCCCTCCCCGCCTCTTCCCCCCAGCTTCTACAACATCTTCTGGGCGACGCCCTTCATCAACCGCGCCAACCGCGTGGACATGCCCGGCATCACCACGGGGCCCGCAGCCATCTTTGACGAGGCAGACAAGAAGGGCTTTCTAGTGCAGCAGGAGGGGGGCGGCTCGCAGGTGAGGGTGGGGGGCTTGCAGGTGAGGGGGGCTTGCAGGTGGGGAGGGTGTGTGTGGGTTGCAGTGGGAACAGTGGGGAAGTGGTGGCAAGCCGTTCAAGAGTGGGCTACGGATCAGTGCTCATGAAGAAGGGCAGCAGCAAAGAGACGATAGTCACTTTGTGAAATTTGTAACCCTTGAAGAAACTGAGTTAGATCCGAACGTACAGCTCAATTCAAACTCTAGACTTAGGCAAGCATGTTTTGGCTTTGCACGGGGATCATACCCGCTAGGCCTTCATCATTGCGAGAGTTCAAAGTGAAAGAGCGAACAAGCGAGGGGTCTAAAAGAACACCCAAGCCTCGAGATCTACACAAGGAAATCCTACTCTGGGCGCGTAACTAGATAGGAAATGTGCCAACTGGACACAAAATAATATTCTTAGGTGGTGTCCAGTCACTCTTCGGGTTTGTCTACGGCAGTCTTCAAACTGGGTGGTGGTAACCTCGCGCAAACCAGGCACTATTCCACGTTACGTGCACACTTCCAAGCAACAAACTTCTGATCAATTCAAAAATTGTGGGTAGAGAGACGGCTTTTGAGGTGGCTCAAAAGGAAGGGGCGTCCAAGGGTGGGCAGTGCGCATCAGTGCTCCACATCCCCCTGCCCCGGCACTGCCACCTCTTCTCCCACGTGCATGACTCCGCAAGTCACCCTTCCCAGCCTGCTTGTCCCTGCGTTGGCATGGTTAATATTATCGAGTTTTGACTTGGCTCGATCTGAAGTCCAGTCGAGTTGGTAAATTTCTTTTCTTGACTCGACTCAACTTGAGTTGAGTCGGCGTGAGGGGGAAGGTCGATGCGTCGCCAGCTCGATTCAAGACAGATGAGCCAACCATGAGTCGGCGTGTCGATTCAAGACAGATGAGCCAACCATGAGTCGGCGTGTCGATTCAAGACAGATGAGCCAACCATGAGTCGGCGTGTCGATTCAAGACAGATGAGCGAACCATGAGTCGGCATGTCCATTCCAGGTGTACTGACTCGAGAGTCACCAACATGAGTTGTGAGAATTTCTCTTGTCCATTTCCCCCACGTCATGCAATTTCCCTCCGCCACTCAATTTTCTGTGTGTACAAGAACAGGGTACGGGGGCCGGGGGGGGAGGAGAAGGTGGATGCCCTGCATGCATGCATGCTCTGCCAGATACCGAGCTTTGTTGTTTCATGCCTTATCATAACCGAGTTGCTTTTTGTGGGGCGGGGCTTGAAAACACCTAAATGTTGACTCAAATCCAGTCTGACTCGCGATTTGAGTGGCTCGTCTCCAATAGTTGAGGCACGAGTTGGCACTTTGTAAGAACCGACTCAACTCTCGACTCGGCTCGACTCGACTCATGACCATGTCTTGTGACCATGCCTCATGACCACGTCTACGCTGCCTGCTTTTCCCTGCCTGTTCTGCCCTGCGTTTTCTCGTTGCTTTATCCGCGCAACAACAGATAGTGAAGTGGTGGAAGGGCGAGGGCGGGCGGGTGGACTTCACGAGTGAGGCAGCGGTGGCGTTCTGGCAGGTGGCCATGAACGCCACACTGCAGTGGCCCACGGCGCGCGGCTTCAAGTGTGACGACGGCGAGGGCAACTACTTCCAGCCCGGCGCTGCCTTCCACGACGGCTCGCCCCTCTCCGTCATGAAGACGCGGGTCAGCCACCCTCCTGCCACGCCGCCCCCCGCCCTTCTTTGCCCTGCCCTCCCCTGCATTGCGTGCTGCATGCTGTATACTCACTGCTGCATGCTTGTCTGTGATTTCATTCCGTGGCCGCTTTCTGCCATTCATGCATACTCGCATGTGTGCATACTCGCATGTGTGCATCCTCGCATGTGTGCATACTCGCATGTGTGCATCCTCGCATGTGTGCATACTCGCATGTGTGCATACTCGCATGTGTGCATCCTCGCATGTGTGCATACTCGCATGTGTGCATCCTCGCATGTGTGCATACTCGCATGTGTGCATACTCGCATGTGTGCATCCTCGCATGTGTGCATCCTCGCATGTGTGCATCCTCGCATGTGTGCATCCTCGCATGTGTGCATCCTCGCATGTGTGCATCCTCGCATGTGTGCATCCTCGCATGTGTGCATCCTCGCATGTGTGCATCCTCGCATGTGTGCATCCTCGCATGTGTGCATCCTCGTCCTCGCATGTGTGCATCCTCGCATGTGTGCATCCTCGCATGTGTGCATCCTCGCATGTGTGCATCCTCGCATGTGTGCATCCTCGCATGTGTGCATCCTCGCATGTGTGCATCCTCGCATGTGTGCATCCTCGCATGTGTGCATCCTCGCATGTGTGCATCCTCGCATGTGTGCATCCTCGCATGTGTGCATCCTCGCATGTGTGCATACTCGCATGTGTGCATCCTCGCATGTGTGCATCCTCGCATGTGTGCATACTCGCATGTGTGCATCCTCGCATGTGTGCATCCTCGCATGTGTGCATCCTCGCATGTGTGCATCCTCGCATGTGTGCATCCTCGCATGTGTGCATCCTCGCATGTGTGCATCCTCGCATGTGTGCATCCTCGCATGTGTGCATCCTCGCATGTGTGCATCCTCGCATGTGTGCATCCTCGCATGTGTGCATCCTCGCATGTGTGCATCCTCGCATGTGTGCATCCTCGCATGTGTGCATCCTCGCATGTGTGCATCCTCGCATGTGTGCATCCTCGCATGTGTGCATCCTCGCATGTGTGCATCCTCGCATGTGTGCATCCTCGCATGTGTGCATCCTCGCATGTGTGCATCCTCGCATGTGTGCATCCTCGCATGTGTGCATCCTCGCATGTGTGCATCCTCGCATGTGTGCATACTCGCATGTGTGCATCCTCGCATGTGTGCATCCTCGCATGTGTGCATACTCGCATGTGTGCATCCTCGCATGTGTGCATCCTCGCATGTGTGCATCCTCGCATGTGTGCATCCTCGCATGTGTGCATCCTCGCATGTGTGCATCCTCGCATGTGTGCATCCTCGCATGTGTGCATCCTCGCATGTGTGCATCCTCGCATGCACCCTGGCAGTACGTGGAGGTGTATCTGGCGGCCATGGGGGCGTTCATAGACAAGTACCTGCAGGGGGACGGGGTGCTCATGGCCAGGAGTGGATTCACCGGCACCGGCAAGTGAGTGCCACACCGCTCATCACTTTCAGAAACCGTCGGCAACGACTGAGTTCGTGACTGTTGATTCATGCCGCCAAGCTGGTCTTCAGCTACCATCCCACCTTCCCTGGTCGTCAGCTACCATCCCACCTTCCCTGGTCGTCAGCTACCATCCCACCTTCCCTTGTCATCCGCTCTCCACCTCCACGTGCACGCTCCACGGTGTCCTGTCGCTCCACGGTGTCCTGTCGCTCCACGGTGTCCTGTCGCTCCACGGTGTCCTGTCGCTCCACGGTGTCCTGTCGCTCCACGCTGTCCTGTCGCTCCACGCTGTCCTGTCGCTGTAGGCTGCCACCATCATATCTCAACCATGTATTGAAAAGGTTCTATTCTGACCATTAAGGCTTAGTGTAGAACTCTTGTGTCCTCGAAGGTTCGGAGAGTCTGGTTGTGGGGAAACTGGATTGCTATTGTGACTGTGCATGCATTGTGCATGGCAGTCAGTAGAGAGCACAGCCGTCATGGATAGGTGCTCAGCCCATGGCCGACGATCATCTTCTCCCAGGCCAAGATTGGGGCGATCCGCCAAATACTTCACTGTATCTTTTCAACCATTGTAAGCCATGAGCGAGTGTTGTGAGCACGTGGTGTGGGTGGGTGGCGCAGGTCGTTCGTGTGGGCGGGCGACCAGCGCGCCAACTGGAACCGCACGGAGGGCTTCCCGTCGGTGATCATGGCGGGGCAGACGGCTGGCTTGTCGGGGTTCTTCCTGTGGGGCAGCGACATCGCGGGGTACTTCGGCAAGACCATCGACAAGGAGCTCTTCATCCGCTGGAGCCAGTTCGGGTGCGCTGTGGGGAAAGTGAGGAGTGGGGGGGGGGGGGGGGGGGGGGGGGGGGGTGGGTGGTGCGGGGACGGGGGAGGGGGGGTGCATAGGATCCCAAGAGTGAGGTCAGAAAAGAGGTGATTCGCAAGACATGAATCGCATGGAGAATGGGCAAGCGGGCTCTTACAAAGGACATCACGGATGTCAAAACGAGCTCGACCAAGGTGAGAAGAAAATAAATCTACCTTTTAGCAAATTAAGCCGTTTAATCTATTGCTATTACTAGTGGAAAAAGAAGAACACAATGATTCTGGTGACACACACGATGAAGATATTAGCTGCACAGAAGGTTGCCTTGTGAGACAGAAGGTTGCCTTGTGAGACAGAAGGTTGCCTTGTGAGACAGAAGGTTGCCTTGTGAGACAGAAGGTTGCCTTGTGAGACAGAAGGTTGCCTTGTGAGACAGAAGGTTGCCTTGTGAGACAGAAGGTTGCCTTGTGAGACAGAAGGTTGCCTTGTGAGACAGAAGGTTGCCTTGTGAGACAGAAGGTTGCCTTGTGAGACAGAAGGTTGCCTTGTGAGACAGAAGGTTGCCTTGTGAGACAGAAGGTTGCCTTGTGAGACAGAAGGTTGCCTTGTGAGACAGAAGGTTGCCTTGTGAGACAGAAGGTTGCCTTGTGAGACAGAAGGTTGCCTTGTGAGACAGAAGGTTGCCTTGTGAGACAGAAGGTTGCCTTGTGAGACAGAAGGTTGCCTTGTGAGACAGAGGCCTTGGATGCCTTGTGAGACAGAGGCCTTGGATGCCTTGTGAGACAGAGGCCTTGGATGCCTTGTGAGACAGAGGCCTTGGATGCCTTGTGAGACAGAGGCCTTGGATGCAGGACTGAGGGCAGTTGACCAAGAAGGTCTTTGCGAGCACACGAGCACACGAGCACGCTTACCAGCAAGGGCACCATGGCGTTCTGTGTTTCGTTTGTCCATGTATTGTGTGCATGTATTGTGTGCATGTATTGTGTGAGAAACGAGTGCTTACCTTCTCATACTGTCTGCTATTCCGTAAAAAGAGCAAGGGTATAATCTAAGTAAGACTGATGAAAGAGGAGGAGGCGATGATGGATAGAAGCAAGCACAACCTTGCAACCTCCTGAATGAGCCGGATGGAGGTCACCTGCTGAATGAGCCGGATGGAGGTCACCTGCTTGCGTTCCTTGACCCGCACCGCCTCCATCGTGCCCCCCTATGCCCCCATGCGCTCCCCCACCTGATGCACCGGTTCAGGCACTCATCAACGTTGTTCTCTCCATTCCTCCCCACCCCACTTGTATCCTGTCTTGTCGAACCCCCACCTCCCAGCGCGCTGTCCCCGCTGATGCACCAGTTCGGGCAGGCCAACAACGGCCCATGGGACTACGATGCCGTCACGCTGCGCATCTACCGCCGCTTCGCCCGCCTGCACATGGTGCTCTTCCCCTACCTCAAGGCCGCCGCACTCGCCAGCGCCACGCACGGCCTCCCCATCCTCTGCGCCATGCCGCTCGCCTTCCAAGGCGACCCTGAGGCTGCCTCCCCGCAGTGGCAGTGGCAGTACAGGTTCGGCCCGGACCTGCTGGTGGCTCCGGTGTACGAGCCTGGGGTGACGCAGGCGACAGTGTACCTGCCTGGGGGCAGTGCGTGGGTGCACTTCTGGGCGCCCAACGGTGTGCTCCTGCAGGGTGGGGCAGCTGTGCAGGTGGCGGTGCCGCTGCATGAGACGGCGCTGTACGTGCGAGCGGGGGCGCTGATAGAGAGTATAGAGGAGGACGTGGACACGCTGGTGCCGCCCTCCGACAAGCTGCACCCCGACGTCAAGACCATCGGCAGGTGTGCCGCGCCTTGCATCCTCGCCACCCATCATCCTCGCCACCCATCATCCTCGCCACCCATCATCCTCGCCACCCATCATCCTCACCCTCGCACATGCCTCCTTCCGTTCGCACTCTTGGCCCTCATCATGCCTTGTCTCATTCTTTACTTCCCCCTTCCTGCACATCAGCCTCATCCCCTACCCCCCACCCCTTCCCTCTGCCACAGTGTGCGCATCCTGCAGGTGTGGCCGGGCATCCCCGCGCAGCCATCATCGCTGCCATCGCTGCTCGCCCCCTTCCACGCCACGCTCACCGCGCGCCCCGTGCCGCAGGCGCACGGGCGCCACCGCGTGGTGCTGCAGCTGCGGGCGAGTGAGCGCATGGAGCTGTCGCTGCGCTTCATGCACGGGCAGCGCCTGCGGCAGCCCAGTGTGCGGCGCAGCAAGCGCGAGCAGGTGGGCGTGGCGTGTGCGGCGGGCAACTACCTGGGCGTGGAGGGGCTGCACTGCGCTGTCGTGCTGGAGGCGGGGGTCACCGAGGTGGCGTGGGAGTACGGGGAGTAACAATGTCTGCCTATGTCAGTGATTGGGCAAGAGGCCTGTACCAACCTTGACCGCATCATCACCCCAAGATCGTGAGCATCGCACGTCAGAGCCGCGATAACTTTAACAAGTGGTATTTTGACAGACGCTGCAGACAACACATGGTGGGATCGTCAGAATTCATTAGCAACTCGAAGCCGCTGCGACAACTATGCGAAATAACCGTCGCCAACAACAATCGAATGAAGGCTGACAACATCAGCGAAATATACTTACAGTCGATCGACACCTTCTTCCCCATTCACATAGGAGATGTATCGGTGGTCGCCGACCTTCAATTCAATCTCATCTCTGCAGCACAAATCATGAAATACGGAATTGAGATTCGGAGCAATTGCGAAAAAAAAAGAGCTTCGAACTCTTCTACAATAAGAATTACGTCAACAAGGCCATCGATGAAGACGAAGTCTTCGTCTTGAAATTCGAATCGCAGGGGAACGATGGAGACTCCGACAGGACGCTCCTACCAAAAACAACTACCACGTAAGCACCAACTTGGTCGCACCCTAAAGAGACGGATCTTCAGCACTCTGGACCAGACAGCACCTTTCGTTCACGTGCCGTCCCAATTGCCTCAACCTCTGCTCACGGGGACACCGGATTTGCATCATGGAAGTAGAAGTAGACAGCGGGGCATCAGCATTTGCAGCACTGCCAAAAACATGAGGATGGGGAAGTACAAATACAACTACTCTTGGTTGGACCAACACCGGCGTCATGATCGAAGAAAAGGGAGAGCCACAAACACCAGAGGAGAGCGGATGGAGAACTTCCGCAATCCCAAGAGGATGGGCACCACAAAGCCCGTTCGCGGAAGCTCTGACATTCCCTCCCGGGGCTATGGCGGAAAGAGACCCCTAGTGGGCAACTCGCGGCACCAGCTAGGGTGGACCTCCTCTTTCGGATCAATATGCATACGAACCTGCAGAGGAAGAACAAGAGGAGTCAGAAAGCATGGTGTACGATTTTGGAGAAGCAGCAGAGCTACTTGAACCTACCGAGGAAGCACCGCCACCAGAAGAAAGACCTCAACTGATCTCGATCACTGGCGATGAGTACCTCTAACATCGAATTCCAATGGAGGGACTCGCCGCTTCCGAGTGGCCAGTACAACATCGCCTCCAACTCAACAACTCATGCTGGTTATCGACGACTCCATCTACGTTGCCGACACAAACGATATCGTCGGGATCCCCAAGGTTGACCTGGAGCAAGCGTCCACTCGAGCCTTCGTAGCCGGCGTACGTGCCACACCCGACAAAGCTGACTATCGGGTTCTGGATGAAGAAAGCTGGGCATCAATCGAACGGCAGCATGGATAACTTTTCTACCGAGTTTAAAGAGCTCTTTGCAAAGAAAGGGATTCATCATCTGGTGTCTCTGCCATACGCGCACTAGCAGCAAGGAGTAGCAGAACGGACAAACAAGAGTCTCGCCATAAGGACCAGAGCCCTCATGAAGTAGTCTGCCATCCAAAAAAAGTATTGGCCGTTCGCGATGAACCATGTTGTTCGGCTGCACAACTTGCTGTCATCTTGAAGCCTCAAGAACAACATCTCACCTTACAAGGCTTGGACGGGCAGAAAAGCTGACACGCGTCTGCTCCGAGTGTTTGGCTGCATCGTACACTACAGACCTCACACGGCAAGAACCGGAAAATTTACTGACCGAGCATGCTGGGGCATCCACCTCATAATTGAAAAGGAGTTCACGGCTTGGATCATGCTGGACTGCGCGACACAAGAAGTGTGAGGATCTAGGATCGAGCTCACAAAGGAGAGTTTGAATTGAATGATCCACCTGGGTACAACACGAGGCTATATATAGTCTCGACACAAGGCCAGTTACCCAGGTGTTACGCGAATGTTCTGAGGGTTGCGAAGAGTCTCGAACAGAACCTTCCTGAACTCAGTAGAAAGCAATTCGATGGAAACTGAATAGGCTTGAGTTTGGTGCACGTAACCTGGTTCGGTGCTATAACTATAATAAATTATAGGAATGCACCTAACCTAGGAAATCAAGCATATCTATGCATGATAAATAAAACCCAAGCTAGTAATAGCATAAGAACGTCTAGGCGAGCTAGCAAAGCCAGCATAAGCCGTCGTACTCTCACACGTCCCCCCCTCAAAGCTGGGTGGCGTGAGAAACACCCTGGTTGACAAGATAGTCCTTGAGAGCACGGCGTGCGTTGCCCATATCAACTTCTGCAACCCAACTGTCAGTGGGGTCATATCCCTCCCAGCGTATGAGGAACTCAAGGGTCTTGCCGCCGCGGCGCCGATGAGTGAGAACGCGCTCCACTTCATACTCTAGTTCATCCTGTATGAGAACAGGTGGTGGTGGCGGTAGCTGCCGTCCCTAGAACTGTTGGTTGGGGTCCTTGTAGGGCTTCAGTAGCTGAACATGGAAAGCGTTGTGAAGCTTCCACGTAGTAGGTAAGCGCAAGCGGAATGTAACTGGTGTCACCTGTGCCTCAACGAGAAAAGGACCACAGAAGCAAGGCCGGAGTTTGGATGGTAGGTGAGACAGGTTCAAGTTGCGCGTATCAAGAAGCACCTGATCTCCGACTGCTACTGAGTGATCACGTCGCTGGCGATCGGCATACTGCTTCTGGGAAATCTGCATTGTGGTGAGACGTCGCTGAGTCTTCTCCCATAAATCCTGCATGGTGGTGACGACGTCGTGTGCGGCTTGGACATGTGCCGGTGTGGTTGGCTGCTGTGGTGTAAGTGGTTCCCGTCCGTAACACAGGAAAAAAGGAGTTTTCCCTGTGGCCGCATGCGACGCGTTGTTGTAAGCGAACTCTAGAGTCGGTAACTGTGTATCCCAATGGTTGACGTCTTCTTTGCAAGCTGTGCGCAGTAACTGTTCAACCACTTGATTGAGTCGCTCTGTCTGTCCGTCATTCTGGGGTGGTATGCTGAAGACATTGCAAGCTTTGTCCTCAACAATCCCATGAGCTCCTTCCAGAACTTACTGGCGAATTTTGGGTCCTTGTCTGAGATGAGTGTAGCGGGGATGCCGTGGATGGTGATGATGCGGTCGAAGAAGAGGCGAGCAGTTGCGTCAGCTACCACCACGAGTATAGCATCATGCCCTCGTGAGGTCGAAGGAAGTCCAGTAATGAAGTCGAGGCTAACGACCTGCCATGGCTGCTCCGGTACTGGTAGAGGCTGAAGTAACCCTGCTTTTTTCTATTTGCTGCTCTTCATCCGCTGGCACGTGTCGCACGAGGTGACGAACTACTTCCCGTCTGCTGCCATCCTGGGCCAGTAGTAATTCTTCGCTATCCCTGCTAACGTCTTGTTGCGACTTCAGGTATTTGAAACTGCAGTGGTCAGTATAGACTGTAGTCTTGGCTCCCTCTAGGTAACACCTCCATGCCTTGAAGGCTATGACTATCGCTAAGGCTTCCTTGTCATGGATGGGGTAATTCAGTTCTGCTCCGTGTAGCTTTTTACTGAGGTAGGCGATGGGCTGCAAACCGCGTCCGTGATCCTGCATTAGTACTGCTCTGACTGCTTGGTCACTAGCGTCTACTTCCACCACGTAGTCCTTGTCTGGGTCCGGTAGGATGAGTACTGGCACTGTAGTCAGTTCTGTCTGTAACTGCTCCATGGCTTGCTGATGAGGAGTATCCTATTTGTAGGGCGTATCTTTTTCCAGTAGGTCGCTCAGTGGCGCTGCTATCTTAGCGTACTGTGGCACGAACCTGTTGTAGTAGTTGGCGAAGCCTAGGAACTGCTGCAACTCCTTTACGTTCTCTGGTACTTTCCACTTCTTGACGGCTTCAATCTTCCGCGGGTCCACGTGTACGCCCTCGGCACTCACCATGTGCCCGAGAAATTGCACCTTCTTCAGGGCAAAGTCGCTCTTCGACAGCTTCACGTAGAATTTGTTCTTCCGCAGGATCTCGAACAGCTTCCGTAGATGTTCCACGTGCTCCTTCATGTTCTTGGAGTAGCTGAGAATGTCGTCCAGGTACACCGTATGGAGAGGTGGATGGGCGGATCAGTTGTCTGTCCAGTAGATTCTCTATCTGCTTCTTCATGTCTGTCAGTTCGGTCGGACTCAGTCGGTATGGTGCACGTGAGAGGGGTTTCGCACCTGGTTCCTCCACGATCTCATGCTCGTGGGTGCGTGCTGGAGGTACGCCTGCAGGTAGGTCGTCGGGCATTATATCATTGTACTGCTCCAAGACCTCTTTTACTGCTGCAGGTCGCTCTGCGTTCGGCTTCTCCTCATCTCCTGCTGCCATAACCTGTGCTAGGTAACCCGTGTTACTCTCATTCACCGTCTGTTCAAACCGTGCCAGTGTCGTTTGAGGAACGCTCCCTGTATCCGTCCAGCTTCGTAGCTCCACTCGTTTCCCGTTGTTGTAGGTGCACGCCTTCCTGTTGACCCAGTCGAT